CAAAGAGATTTTTTAAAAAATGGAAAAAAGGACCTACTTGTATAAAAATATTTATAGCAATTTTTTTTTGGTGGTGGCAAAGAATTGGAAACTGGGGGGGGTGCCTATCAATTGGGAAATGGCTGAACAAGTTGCGATACGTGAATGTAATGGAATACTACTGTGCTATAAGAAATGATGAATGGCTTTTTGTGGTGGCAAAGATTTGGAAATTGAGAGGATGCCCATCAATTGGGGAATGATCGAGCAAGTTGTGGTATATGAATGTGATGGAATACTATTGTGCTATAAGAAATGATGAACAGGCTGACTTCAGAAAAACCTGGAAAGACTTACATGGTCTGATGATGAGTGAAGAACCAGGAGAATGTTGTACACAATAACAGCCATGTTGTGCGATGACTAATATTGATAAACTTAACACTTCTCAGCAATACAAGGATCTAAAACATATCCAAAGGCCTTGTGATGGAAAATGCTATTCATAAAGAAGACAGAACTATGGGGTTTGAATGCAGATTGAAGCACAGCATTTGCTATTTTTTTCTTCTGTTGAGTTTTGTTTCCTCTTTCTAGTGGTTCCTCCTATTGGTTCTAATTCTTACTTACAACACCACTAATGTGAAAATATGTTTAATAGGAATATATATGTATAGCCTATATCAGGTTGTGTGCCATCTTGGGAAGGGTAGTGGGGAGGGAGGGGGAGAAAAATTTGAAACTCGAGCTTATGGAAGTGATTATTGATAAATCAAAATAAATTAATTAAAAAAAGAAATGATGAGCAGGAAGGCTTCAGAAAAATCTGGAAAGACTTCTATGAACTAATGTTGAGTGAAGTGAGCAGAATCAGGAGAACATTGTACACAGTAACAGCAATATTGTATGATGATCAACTGTGAATGACTTAGCTATTCTAAGCAATACAATTATCTAAGACAAATTCTAAAGGACTCATGATGAAAAATGCTGTTCACCTCCAGAGAAAGATCTGATGGGGTCTGAACGCAGATCGAAGCATACTATTTTTCACTTTATTTTTTTGTCTTTTTTTTTGTCTGTGTTTTCTTTTACAACGTAACCAATATGGAATTATGTTTTACATAACTTATACCAAATTGCTTACTGTCACAGAGAGGAAATAAGGGAGGGAGGGAGGAAGAGAATTTGGAACTCAAAACTTTAAAAAAAGAATGATAAAAATTCTTTTAAAATGTAAATTGGAAAAATATTATTCCAAAAAAAAGGTAGAGGTTCTTAACCTGGGATTCATCAATAGATTTCAGGGGGAAGGGAGAGGTCTATGAACATAGAAGGGAAAAATATACTTCTTTATTTTCACTAACCTTTTATCAAAATTTATCATTTCCTTTTATTATGAATGTATGCAACACATCATTTATTCTGAGAAGAGGTCCCTAAGGTTTCACCAGACTGCCAAAGGGGTCCATAACACAAAAAAAGATTAAGAACTCCTGTTTTAAATATGAACAAGACTTTGGGAGCAGCATTAGGATGGTGGTGTAAAAAGACAATAAAGGCTCAAGATACTTGGGTCCTCATCCTAATTCTGCCACTATAAAATATTCTAATTCATTCAAATTCTCTGGGCCTCAGTTTCCTCATCTCTAAAGTGACTAGATGATTTTTAAGCTTTGTTCTGATTCTGAAATTCTGTGATTTCATTAAATTAGGTTCTCTACTATCCAACATTTAGGGAGCCTAGTGTTTACTATACATACTTAAGAGTAAATAAAATTATATTTCTTTAAAATATTCTACAGGGTAGTTTTTCACTAAAGTAGCTTATTCTTATTAAATCTATAAACTGAATGAATTACTGAGGTTGACAAAAAGAAAAGTTAAGGAAAATGCAGTTATGTAACTGGATAAGAGCAAGTTCCAAGGGTGGTAATAAATAATAAAGTTTAAATTTACATGACGTTTTACAGTTGGCAAAGCACTTTACAAACACTATCTCATCTTCAAGAACATTAAGGGCCATTATTCATCATTATGCAGTTACCTGTCCTTTATCTCTTCTAAGGATGGAAGTAGAAGGAAAAAAAATTACCTAGCAGCATGGGGGATTTAGGCTAGACTTTCAAAGAGGGCTCCAAGATGATATAAGAGAGCAGGGAGCTCTGGTGAATCAATGAGATTATGACTTGTCCTTGAGGAAGCTTTTAGCAACAACATAAACACCCCTCAGACTTAGGTGGTTTTCAGTGCTGTTCTGCCTCTAGATAAGGGGATAAACTCAGTTTCCCTCGAGATCCCTTTTAGTCCCAGTAGTCTATAATAATTTTAGAAATTATCTTAAAATGTTGGAAATTTCCAATCTACTTTTAGCTTTAATTTCATTCTGTCACTAAGGGAGCTGCTATTTTCTCTATCATTTACTTGTATTTCTTTTAGGCAAAGTACCTGTCAAATAGTCTTCTCTGTCTCTGTCTCTCCCTCCCTCCCTCCCTCCCTCCCTCTCTCTCTCTCTCTCTCTCTCTCTCTCTCTCTCTCTCATAATTATTCATACTCAAAATGTAGGAATTGCCCCCAACCCAATACCTAATCAATAAAGATAATTCCGGATGCTATGGCTTTTTAACATTTGTTGTGTGAAGCTTCTGCCAACAAATCTCCCCCAAAGCAAAACCAATTAATTTTAACCCAGCTGTGCGTAATCATTTCTTTCAACATATGGCCATTAGATATTGGGGGAAAAAATAGATGAAGCTTATTTTCTAGTAAAAGATGAATACATTTAATATAAGATGAGTATGTGATCTCTATCAGAATTTCTTGCAGTGTCTTGAAGAACTTATTATATTTAAGAGAACCATAAGAGAGCCATGAGGCAATTTCCAAGTTGGCTGTATTAGAATCACAGATTTCAGAAGTTGGAAAGCACTAATAGCTTAACCCCTATCTCAACTAGAATCCTCTCAATAGCACTTCTAACAAATGGAATTTACTCTTTGACTAAAGTTTTTTAGTGGAAACCCACCACTTCTCCAGACAACACATTCTACCTTTTAATATCTTGCATTTTTAGATAGATTTTCCTTACGATGAACCTACTCGATGAAGCCTCTCCATAACTTCTATCTACTGTTCCTAGTTAAGCCCTTTGTGGACAAGGAGATCCTCCATCCTCATGACAGTCCTTCAAATTTAGATTGCTCTTTTCCACAGTAAACATCCCCAGTTTCTTTAATTGGTACTCAGGAGATCCTCTTTATTAAGTATGGAATTATGTCTACACCCAAAACACTTAACGCATATTCTAATTTGGTTGAAATTCCCCTATTATTGCCCTCAAATTTTCCCTATTTCCCTTATCCTGGGATACTCCTTTCTATCTTCAATGGCAGGATTGGAGAAACTGTGGCCTCGAGGCCACATGTGGCCCTTTAGGTCCTCAAGTGTGGCCCTTTGACCAGATCCACATTTCACAGATCCCCTTAATAAAGGATTTGCTTTGTAAAACTTGGACTCAGTCAAAAGGCTATACCCAAGGACCTAGAAGGCCAAATGTGGCCTCAAGACTGCAGGTTCCCCATCCCTGATCTAAGGTCTTCCAAACTAGCATTTATGGGTTCCATCAGTATGTTCTTTTGTTTGTTTGGTTGTTTTTTGTTTTTTTTTTGTTTGTCTGGTTTTTTTTTGGCTAGGCAATGGGGTAAGTAACTTGCCCAGGGTCACACAGCTAGTAAATGTTATGTGCCTGAGGCCAGATTTGAACTCAGGTCCTCCTGAATCCAGGGTCCTATCTGGTGTTCTATCCACTGCGCCACCTAGCTGCCCCTTTATTAATTAATTAATTTTTGTCATCAGTATGTTCTAAACCCCAATATACTATGGCCAAATTAGTTCGTACAATTCTTGTCCACGTGGATAATAACCATTCTTTCATTCTACTGTCTCTTTAATATTTTAGTACTGTAAATCCCTACATAAAGTAACTTGACTAAATGAAACTAAGGCTGGCAAAAGATCTATGATGTCATCAGTATGGAAACTGCCTCCGCCAACAAGGATCATAACCCCTCTGTGCCTCAGGAGGCAGCCTTCATGAGTTGTTGTGGTTAGAAAAATTCATCACTTCGGCCAACTTTCCGATAATGAGCCTCTCCAGACTTTGCTTGTCTAGTCCACATTGACACTGTTCATTATCAGCCCTGTATTTGAAGCTTTTCACAGCCTTTGAGAAGTCGGGATCAGATCGTTCCACTGCTCTGTCCTTGACAAATTGCACATGGACTACTGTGTTCAATTCTGCATGCCACATTTTAGAGAGAGCATCCATAGGCCAGAGCTTATTAAGAAAAAGGCCAGTAGGGCATTTGAAATCATGTTATAGGAAGACTGGCTAAAAGAAATGGGCTATTTGGCTTAAAGAAGAGACAATTCTCTGGAAAACAATTGTTATCTTTATGTCTTTAAGGGGCCAGCATGTGAAAAACGGATTCGATTTGTTTTGATTGGCCCTGGAGAACTAATGGATGTAAGTGGCTAAAGGGAATATCATGACTCACAGAACCTGAAATTTAGAGCATTTGGAGGCCATGGAGTACAACCCCATCTTTTTACAGAAGAGAAAACTGAGGCACAGAGAGGTTAAGTGATCTGCCCAGAGTAATGAAATTAATCAATTTAGTAAGTGTCTCCTATGTGTCAGACACTGACTAGTAAGTATCTAAGGTGGGATTTTAAACCATGTGTTCACAACTCTGAGACCAGCTCAATATCTACTACTCCAGTTGCCTCTTGACTAGACATAAGGAAAAATTTACTAACAATTAAGCTCTCCAAAAGTCACATGGACTGTCTCAGGAAGCAGTGAGCTCCCTGTCATGGGTAGAAGACTATTTAATGGTCAGAATGTTATAGAAGGAATTCATGTTTCAAGAGTGAGTTGAGCTGGATGAGATTCCATAAAAACACACCCACATACGCCATGACTCCATTTGTTAGTTGTAAAGAAGACTGATTCCTCTTACCTTTATCATAGATTTCCTTCAAGACCCCTCGCTTTATAAGCTCTTCTCTGCTTTGTCGCATGGATATTTTTCTTTCCAGGGCTATAAGGAAATGACAGAGAAACAGGTTTGAATCAGCACAAATACATTACCGAAAGCAATCCCATTTTAACAAGCTAAGTTCAGCACGCCAATTCATTACACATTGTTCCTGATCATGATATCTCTTCACAGATGGCATTTTACTTTGAAACCTCTAGTACATTTGCATTATTTTCCACTTAGTCCATGCTTCCTTTCTCTTCTGCCACCCCCTCCCCAAGAGTTTGAAAATTGATGTGGAAATGTCAACTCTTTTGGTTCAACTTTAGTGGGTCAGGAGTGAAGTCTGAGGGTGGCGGGATGAAGTAGAGGAACACAGGCCCATGGGGTGTCCCACCTGTGGCTCTTCTGCTATTTGGCTCACCTTCAGAGCAACTAGGCATGGAATGAACTGCACGCCATCACAAAAACTTTCCACTATCACTCACCAGAGCCAAAAGTTCAGGAGAGCTTGTGAGCAGGGGTCAGGAAGGGAGAGGAGATGTTTCCCTTGGAACAGCAGGAAGAATAGAGATGAATTCAAGTAGAAAAGAAGCCTAAGAGCGGGAAGTTAGGAACAGGAAAAAAGGGCAAAGCAAGGCCAAAAACCTGGGGAACTAGCTGAAAAGAAGCCCTGGAGTCATGTTTTAACTTGTGGAATAAAGAAAATTGTCCTAACCACTGCCAGTAGGGGCTTTGAAGTGTTGGATATAATAGGTATTTTGGTTAACTTTTTCTCAGGCTTAGGAATTCAACTACTTTTTTTTTTTGAGGCAGTTGGGGTTAAGTGACTTGCTCAGGGTCACACAGCTAGTAAGTCTCTGAGGCTAAATTTAAGCTCAGGTCCTCCTGACTTCAGAGCCAGTGCTCTATCCACCATACTACCTAGCTGCCCCACAACAACTTTTTAAAAAGCAATTAGCCTCTAACAAAGGTGACTTATAAAATGAGAAAGGAAAATTACCTATTCAGAAACAAGATAGAGAAGAGAGAGAGTAAATGTAAGAAGACCTATTTAAAAGCTATTTTCTTACAATTAGTTCAAATAGGTGATAATAAGGGTGGTAAAAGGTAATAACACCCCAACTCTGAATTTACATTACAGCATTATCCTAACAATTAGAAGACCTACTCTGAATATATCTTATAAGTAACTAGTCATTTACATATTGTCTCCCCCATTAGGATATCAGCTTCTACAGGGCTGGCACTGATTTTTGCCTTTCATTGTATCCCCAGCTCATAGTACAATGCCTGGCACAAAGTAAGGGTTTAGAAAATGCTTGTTGACTGAATATGTTCTAAGTCTAAGAGCTAGGGTGACCTTAGACAAGTCACTTAGTATCATGGATTTGTTTCTTCATCTATAAATGATCTCTAAGCTTTTTGTTGTTGTTGAGCATTTGTTTTTAAGTCATGAAATTTAAGCCTGGCATTATATTTGTTATGGGAAAACTTCCATTCAGTTTAAGCTAAAATATTTCTTTTCACGGTACTCTCTGTTCCTCAGAGACATAACTAAAATTTCTTTAAACTGGGTGAATGCCACTGAGCAGCATGGGGGTGTGAGTGGCAGTGGCAAAAAGCCCAGTCTGCCAAGGAGGGCAGGCATGCCAGTGGCCCAGAGAATCCAGCCTTTGCCCCCATAACAGTTGTGTCTGCATGTGTGTATCTAGGGAATTGTTCCAGATAACATGAACCACAATGATGAGACACTGAACCAGAGGCCCAGCCAGGGGCCTGCTGAAGTTACACGGCAGTACAGGTTGGCAGATGAAGGCTGAAATGTAGGAAAAGTGGTTTGTACATTGAGGAAGCAGATACAACACATGTTGGCACCTCTCTGTAGTTACTGTTCTCCTGTCCCCACCCTTATTCCTACCTATTTGAACTTACAATAAGAAAATATTTTCTAAGTAGGCCTTCTTGCCTTCACTCTTTCTCCCCACCAATACATCTTTCATCATGGTACCAGACTAATCTTGCTCATGTCTATATCTGGGCATGTTACTCCTTTGCCCCAAAACTGTTAATGACTCTGGCAAAGAGATGAGTTGCTACTTTTTACTATTGTCTCAGACAAAGAGGTAACTCATCTCCTTGCCAAAGCTGTCTACCCCATCTTCTCCTGTTTCCTGGAGAAGCTTACCTTGTCAATCATCCTTCTCTCTTGATCATCTTCAATCTCTCCCTATCTACTGGCTCCTTATCTACAGACACGTTCAGGTTTCTTACAAGATTTCTTTCAAAATGTTCAGGTGAACTCAGGTGAACTTACCATTCACTCAGGTTGTCATCGTACATCTCTTTCCTTTCACTGCCAAACTCCTGGAAGGCAACGTCTATCCTTGCTGTCTCCAGTATCTCAAAACTTATTCACTTCCCTACTTCTTACAATCTGACTGCCAATCCCACCTCTCAAGTACAACCGTCCTTCCCAAGATCACTAATGTTCAGTTGTCAATCCCAGCAGCTTTCCCCTCTCTCTCCCTCCTCCTTCCTTCTACCTACTCTTACTAATTTTCACCTTATTATTTAATTTGACCTACTGTTCCAGTCTCTTGAGTTCTTTCTGATCTTGGCTCAATTATCTAACATATAATATGTTCCTCTCCTAGTTTGATGTCTTTAATATCACCTTCCATAGAAGGTACTTCACACTTCTCATTTCAAATAATTCACCCACAATGCCTATCTTGTGATACTATTTTCAGTGACACTTATAAAATTACAAAACAGCTAATTACTATAGCTTCATAAACAACATCAACACTGCCCTGAGAAGGGACATAAATCAGGGGCAAAAAAGGGAATCTAAGTCACCTGCCTCTGATTATTTTAAAGGAATATTGGATTTTTTAAAAAAACCCCACAAAATAAAGGGAGAGGAAGGCTTGGGATGGGAAAGAAATAGGCTATGATGGTTACCTCTCTACTCAAATAAAATAATAGTTATCTTCCTGTCCATATTGAAAGGTTGTACTGCTATATTGGGACTTTGGGAGTAAGGTCCAATTACTAGCATTTTTTGGTATATAGAACTTAATAGATGTTTGTTGAATCAAATTGAGGAGGAGAAAAGAAATGAAGAGAAAAATATCAAGTCAACAGGCTTATCTACTACATGTCAGCAACTGGGCATGGAGATACAAAGAAGGTAAAAAAAATGATCCTTGCTCTCAAGAAGTTCACGGTCTAACAAGGTAGAAGAAAAGAAGAGGCCAGGGGAGGGGAAGAAGTAAGAAGGGAAAAGCAATGGATTTGGCACCTACTGAAAAGGTGGGGAACTGAAAGCAAAGGTGAGCTTTTCTAAACAAGTAAAGAAGTGCCTCTTCTACTCCCTCTCGTGGTGAGGGGAAAATGATAATGATTTGATATTGGGAGAGAGGATGGAGTTGGTTCTGGCAATCTGGCATGTGGGAAGAGAAATGTGTGTAACAGATAAGGAGGCTAAAAAGAACCTTCTATCTATCTATCTATCTATCTATCTATCTATCTATCTATCTATCTATCTATCTAT